ATTCGCCAAAAAAGAACAATTATAAATATGACCTGAATACCAATCAGAAAATTACAAATATTTACTGAACAACAATCAACTTTAGGTTAAAAAGAGAGCAAAGAACAAAGAAAATCGATTGGCTGACACCTCCACCTGCAATTACTGCAGTTGAAAAAAGATTTGACGAAAGAGTCCGATCGATATGATGACAAATTAACATCTGCGAAAACTCCAAACTTCACATTGCAACTGATCTTCATGTCAAGTAACATAACGTACATCTATCTAGAAAACATCAGTAATATATTTAATTTGGAGACATTTGTGCATCAGACTACATATCCTAAACTTCAAATCGTACCAGTAAAGGATCTGCTCATTATGTCAGGAATATAGGATATATCCATCTAGAAAACATCGGCAATAGATTGAACTAGGAAACATAATTCATCAGATTAGGTTTCATTGGAGAAATGTACTCGTTAACATTATACATTACACTAAAAGACATGAGCAATATACTCTACCCGTATACCTTGTGCATTTGTCTAGAACATATTCAAAAGACTGTTCATGCCACGAATTCAAATAAAAGGGAATACATTTAGTTCTTTAACTTTATGTATATGCCTACAAACATTGTATTTGTAATCATCATTCAAAACTGCAATACTGTATGTTTTACCCCTGTACATTGTAATCAATCTGAAATACGCTTTACACCTAAAGATAATAACAATTTGGAGTATATTTTACTCCTAAACATATAAGCTTTACCCCTGTACATTGTTATTAGTCTGGAATGTGTTTTACTTCTGTGTATTGTAATCGGCATGGAATGTGTTTACTCCTGAACATTGTTATTAGTCTGGAATGTGTTTTACTTCTGTGTATTGTAATCGGCGTGGAATATGTTTACTCCTGAACATTGTTATTAGTCTGGAATGTGTTTTACTTCTGTGTATTGTAATCGGCGTGGAATATGTTTACTTCTGAACATTGTTATTAGTCTGGAATGTGTTTTACTTCTGTGTATTGTAATCGGCATGGAATATGTTTACTCCTGAACATTGTTATTAGTCTGGAATGTGTTTTACTTCTGTGTATTGTAATCGGCGTGGAATATGTTTACTTCTGAACATTGTTATTAGTCTGGAATGTGTTTTACTTCTGTGTATTGTAATCGGCATGGAATATGTTTACTCCTGAACATTGTTATTAGTCTGGAATGTGTTTTACTTCTGTGCATTGTAATCGGCGTGGAATATGTTTCACTCCCATACATTGTTACCAGTCTGGAATATGTTTTACTCCCATACATTGTTACCAGTCTGGAATATGCTTCACTCCTGTTCATTGTAATCAGTCTGGAGTATATTTATATATACAAATAGTTTTTTTACTCTTTAATATTTCACATCATGATAGAACGTATTCTCAATATATTCTAATGGTTACCATAAAATGCTTACTGTTAATTCTTTTATTTTCGATCGAGTGATTTTTTCGTTTATATCTTGGTTACCCGTAATCAACGAATTCATATGTTCATGAACTATTCAAATCGGTACAAGTAATGACTGATATCTAAGTATCAATGAAATCAAGTATCCACGAACGAAAGAGTACTTTAAACAATCACGAAATTGTAGACTCGCGAAACAGTTCTTACTGTATGTGAAAAGTCTACAGAAACTGACGCTGAAATCAAGGACAAAAGCATAAAAGGCATGTCATATCAACAGTTAGGCTCTAAACCATCATTGTATGATATCATTAAATTAGCCTAGTATCGACTTTGCTGAATAACATTAAAATACATATGACGTTGATTATTTCAGAACAAGTTATCTTTGTCTGGGCTAATTAATGAAGATATTAAATCTTGTTATGAAATGTTGTTAGAAACAGATGTGTCACGGCCTAATCGTGACCTCAAACTGTACTGTGTGCCTGTTACTACCTCTCATACAACATGGTACGGCATATCCGCCGACGGTAAGTGTGGTAATTTACGTTAACATTAGGAACACGATCATCATTCATCATTTTCTAAGTCATATTTACATATCATAACAGTGTTAGATTTCTATTACTATGTTACTGTAGCTGACATGGAAGCCAAGTTGCAGTTAAATAACCCTTAGTGGTCAATTCAAGCATACGGAAAGTTATATGCATATCTATATAAACAACTCGATTTTCGTTTAGTTTTTTTTTTTTTTTTTTCTTGATCAATTTTGCCAAAGTTATTTTTACAATTTATCAATTGATAACTCGCGACAGCCGAAGGATGTAATGCAATACATGGCTGATCGAGGTATATTGCATACATAGACAAAGAATAATACAACTTTCAATACAAATTTAGAATAAAACACGGTAAAGCCAATTAGTTAAATAAATTATATCATACAGCTGTTTCGAAGCCTCGTCAGTGATGCTTCATCATACAGCTGATTCGTTTTTCTAAGACTCGTCAGTGATGCTACATCATACAGCTCTGATTCGTTATTCTAAGACTCGTCAGTGATGCTACATCATACAGCTGATTCGTTATTCTAAGACTCGTCAGTGATGCTACATCATACACCTCTGATTCGTTATTCTAAGACTCGTCAGTGATGCTACATCATACAGCTGATTCGTTATTCTAAGACTCGTCAGTGATGCTTAAGGTCCTAGGAGGCGACTAAGTTGAATCCAAAGTGATCTAATGAAATATCAAAATTTAGATAAGGATATTACAGCCCCTTACTTCAATATTTTTTATATACTACAGCTATACTACATCCGAAAAGTTTCGTTAATTCATAACCATCTCATACACTCCATATGTCAGTGCAAGTAAGATTCACACTGGTCATTTGTCTAGTGGAAGATAAACGTGTGGTCATCGAATCGTTACACTTGATTTTCTAAATGTTTGTGATATAAGACCTTCTATTCCACTAGCTTCATAAGATGTTGTCTTTTTTCTTTCATATGGAAGTTTAGTGCAAGGTTAAAAAGCAATCGTATATTGTATTAATTTTTGCCTCAATAATTCTGATTTACATCGCAAGCATTGAATAATTCTGGATGGCGTCGCCGGGACCATTCGATATTTAATTGTTCATTTTTAGTCTATGCTGACCTTTTCCAAAGTTTTAAATCATATCTTACAGAGTTTTTGCGATTTTTGTACAGACGTTACATTGACGACTCAACTTATTCATTAATTTTAAAATTGGTTTTGTGTTGATAAAGATTTGTATTTCATTATTAATTTTGTGGTTTGTCCGTTATTCTTCGTAAACAAATAACAAAATCAGGAAATAGCAACAGGTAAACATATCATAAACCAAACACAAATTGAATAAAACTTTGGCAAAACACGCACAAAAGAACGCTTAATAGACAGAGAGCAGTTCCGGAGGTGTAAAATCAACAGAAATATATTTGAAATAATTAACAAACAAACATGAAAAAATAATTATTACCTTATTTCATAGTGGGTGTAATCACGTTATGAAAAGTCACGTTTTGTGTCTTATGTGATGTCGATAACATTATTAGCATATAGAGGAAAACTATCATTATTTAATTAACCTGTGTAGGTATGAATAAAACACTAATTAAGTAACAGCAAAACACCTGGTATCGTTTCCGTAAATCTGTTTACTACCAGGTTTGTTGGAAGCAATAACAACAGGCGACTTCCTGACTATGTCATGACATCGATTAATATTGCCAGTAAAGATATAAGGTCGTGAGGCAATGTGTTGATATTGGCACTTAATGTCAACTATATCATTTGACGGTGAAGCAAAAAATCATTACAGTTCCTCTATCGCCCGACAATGCATTTACCAATGAGATTGTTACTAAATATGGTCCCCATGTCCTGTTTAGCATTTCTATATTATTCGTTCGAACAGCCAATCATACTGAAGAAAAATCAGTAAAAAAAGCATCATCAGAAATGAGACAACGTGCATTGTTGTCTTAACAGTAGGGTTTTATATGTATTGAAAGACAAAATACGATTTTTATTGTATGTATCACATTTTTTAACATGATCATTCAAGTATATTACAGACTTTCGTTAAAAAAGTATATATCGAAATATGCTTCAGAAATTAAATACATTTTGAAATGCTAGCTAATATTTATTAAAAATGCATGTAAAAATAATAGCATTTTAATAAAAACCTTTATAGTTTTTTTCCATGGTTATAATATTTCCGCGATGTGGCATTGTGATCTGTATCATTCTATTAACAAATATATTTTTCATTTTGTTAAAATAACTACAAAACATTAGCAGATCAAATATAAAGACATTATCAAGATAACTATGCTTGCCGATACATTGTCATCCATGCGTGACATGCTTACTGTCGCTGGAACGAGACAGACTAATCCTAACCTTCCTCAAAAAGTGAATCTTTATGTCTCGCCGGCTTCTTAAGCATCGTTCAACAAAGGATTTTAGTATGTCTTTCCTTGCTCTCTTCTCCCTCATTCGCTGTCAAGTAAGGAGCCTCCGTTAACCTGTTAGCGAATCAGCGCGGAGAAGGCCTTAATTGGCTGTCCTGCCAAACTCCCTCTAGGCATTTTCACACACTTTCGTCCAATGAGATTGTCCGCTCTACTTAGAGCCTGATGGTAAGGAGATTTGTATTCATGAAATCATGATCACTGATATGTAGCCACCTGTCTGGATTATGCTTAAACGGCCTCTGTAATTAAGTGAATTGCTGATTGATGTATTGGTTGTGAAGAAATGTCTCGACCTTCCTTCATCTGACTTACAGGTAAAGGTAGCCTGTGGATATATAAAGACAATCGGGCAGGACACTAGCACAGTTGGTCTAATGCATTCTACCTTGTCACATGTGTTTCACTTGCTGTGAGTGTGACTTAAGAACACGATTCCTCGTACGTTGACTTGTGTAAAACACAAAGGAATATTATCATTACACTTGGATTATAGTAGAAACCAGTAGAGTTGATTCACACTTATATTTACAACAATGAGTTTCCGGATGCTGCGTTCTACGGACTCTTTGGATGACGAGTTCAGCATGAACAATCATCGTCGATTATGCCGGCAACGGTCGAACTCAGAACCTAATCGTTTGAGCCTTGATGAAAACGGAGTAAATTCTACAGATAGTAACGGGAGGAGCTTGCTGTTTTGTGCCGTTAGTTACGGACAACTTGAAGTTGCTCGAGGTCTCTTGGAGTCTCGATGTGACCCGAATATACCCGACGAATACCGAAACATTGCACTACACGAGGCCGTTGAAAGGTCACACCCTGACCTCGTAAAACTCCTGATCAAATATGGTAAGTTTACAAAACATAAAATAAAACTATATTGTTTAATTGAGGTGACTGTGAAGTATATTTTCATATTCACATCTACAGTCTTCGATCTTGTACTTGTTATACACATAGAGGTGTATAGGATAAATGAGTTTTTTATCTTATTGTACACTGGATGCACAAAGGAATAGCACTTTTCAATACTAATAGTTTTGTCCTTCAACGAACAATTAGTAATGTTATCTAAACGGCCTATATATTTAGAAAAATTAAGATAAATCAAAAGTTACCGATATAAAATTGACTTCATTTTGAAAAATATTGTCAGCGATTGAAACTAATCATTATCTTTGACCATCAGTGTAAATAAGTGGATTAGTGAAATAATTGTTTTAATGTAATTACCTGTAGTCACATTAATGACAGCTGATTTTTTTTATAATTAAGACGATTGTCGACATAACTCTACACAGCCAAGACTGATAATTGTCTTCTGATGTTCTCGTGTCACGGTGGCCTTGTAAGAATTCTTCACACGATCCGCTGTCTGCACGATTTGTGATCCCGCTGGCTATTTTCATTAGGCACTGCCGTAGGCAGTTCATCATTCCCTAACAGTATTGTTTTTATAATGTCACGGAACACTTAAAAATTCGAATATCACTTTTCATCACGAATAGTTATATCGCACCTGGAATAATGATAACTGCAGTATGCTGTCGTTCTGACCCTCCAGAACTCTTCAGTCAAGACAGGGTCCACAATATTGTGGAAATATCAAACGATCTTTGCATAAAGTGAAATAAAGATTTTGCGGAAGTCATTTAGCACCATTGGCAAATGAATATATAATACTTTATACTTTTTTATTGTTTGAATTCGAACTTTTCGAAATAATTGATAAACTATTGTTGTTTTTACACACATCTACTTTCAAAGATGTTAGTCATTACTTAAAAAGATAACCGTTGACACTGCTAGAGTATTAGTTCCTTAAGTTTGCCGTCACCTGCCTGCCACGATCACATTTTATTTTCCTCAGCTGCCTCCGAGGCTTTAAAATTTGGGCCTTTAGCATCACTGATAAGTTCTAGAAGGACGAAACCGCTGATGCAATTTGATTCATAGTTTGGCTGTGCAGTATCTAACTCTAAATTTGTATCAAAAGGTGCTATTCACTTGTGTGTCTTTTGTACAATCTTTTATTATGTAATGACTGCGTGCTTTTCAATTCTAAGAAGATGACAAAAAAAAGTTTTAACAGCAATGTTTATTAAGGTAAAAAGACATGATGACAACATCAAATAGAATTATTTAATAAAACCAGAACGTTATTACAATATTAAATTGAATTGCCAGTGAAGTCTCATACACCTGTGTACAGGTTTCAATTTAATTTTATCTGCCACTATTGACGTGTTCTGGTTTTTCTTTTGTTTACGTTGGACTTCTCGGGAATATGTAATGTACCAGGAATAACTAGAGCTGAATATATATATGACAAATAATATAACGGTATCTGAATTAATGTTTCAGGGTCGGACTTAGATGCCAAAAACTGCCTCGGCCAGACACCTCTGATGAGAGCTGTTGTGTTTGATGACTTGGAAATTGTCAAGGTCTTGGTTAAATCAGGTAATTATTACACCTGCAATTAACGGAAACAAAAAATCGATACACGCGCATATGAAAGATATATTACAAATTGTTTCCCTGTGTGTATACGATGTAAGAAATGAAACCAATGTTATTTTTTTCTCTTCAATATCATATTGTCTAACTTACATGGCATTTGATAAAGAGTCTTTTTAAATTTCCTTACCGATTCTAGCAGATTTTTGTTCTTGTATGATATCTTTATTATAATACATTTGTTATATACAGGCTACTGAAACATTCTTCTTTTATTTCAATTATAAATTTTATGTCTACAGGAGCTGATCTCGATGAAGTCGAAATCACCGGAAAATCTGCATTACTCATAGGCCTGTTGGAACAACGAGAAAAAGTGTGCCGTTTTTTAATTAAGCACGGGTGTGACGTCAACATTGTAGACAAATTGGGTCAAAGTGCAATGTATTTGGCCTCCCAGTCGACAAATGCCGAGTCCATGACTTTGTGTAAGCGATTGATCAAGGCAGGATATGAAACAAAGAAGGATTCTGAATGGTTGGATGAGTCAAGCGTTGCTCGAAGAGTACTTCGGCGTAAAAGCTTTCTGAAAAAAGTTTACAACAAGCTAAGGAGCCGATCCGAGAACAATAACAAGCAGAAATATTGCCACAGTGACACGTCTAGTTCATGCTCAGACTCAATGAATGAAAGCTATTCAGACATGATGGAAAGTTTTAATGATCCTTGTGTCATTCGAGTTCGAAATTAAACACACAAATTAGTCGACGAAAATCAACTTAATTTAAACTTACAAAGTCGACATAAACAATTTACTGTTGATTTTATGATATTGGACAAAGCTACAAGTTTTAAGTTATTTATAATGATTATATGAGACAAGTTCAGTTTGTCATGTATCATATATTTATGTTGACTGTGAACAATTTATATGTGAGACACAATATATATTGCTCTACTTGTCTTGAATATTATTTCTCGATAAGGCATCTTTGCACAGGCTACAAAAAGCTTACAATCTATTGGTTAAGAAGTTGCAATCACGTGCGTTCTTTTGTTATGTCAAAGTAAATATCGATCCGTTATGAAAAGTTTCAGTAAACCTGCTACCATTTCTTGCCAGTCCAAGCTTTGTTTGGTCTACTCCATCTACAATCGAACCTCGTTATCTCGAATTCGACGGGACCATGGGGGAAACTTGGAGATAACCGAGTATTCTATTGAAGAGAATTCGAATGTTTTGTGTAAATTAGGCAAGGACCGACAACATGCCTTGAAATAAGCGAGGTACTCGAGTTATATGAGTTCGAGGTAACGAGGTTCGAGTGTAATGAAAATGTTGTATTGAAAGGTGCTATACCAGGTGTGCTTCTTTTATATAATATTACGTCAGGAGTGGAAACAAAATATAGAACAAAATTCTAGATTTATTGTTACTTAACTCCTTCCCAAGGTTTTAAAACTCAAAGATCGGGGGAAAAATATTTCGAGATATATTTTCAAAATACTGATAAATTTCGTTTCGGAATACGCATATGCCTAACATTTTATGTGTTAATGTGTAACGGGTATTTTGATTGCATATCTACTGATTCTTTTTCGGGTTATAGGAATCATCTTCCAGAATTATGTCTGGTACGTAATGTATGGTGAACTCTTATGTAACCCTATATCATACCCACCGTAACACTCGCTCAGGCCATATTATCTGTTAGATAAATCAATTCAAATAGTGGATACGCTTTGGAGGTTTCGGTTCAACTGTATCGTTTAATACTTTGACGATGTCATGGATGGTAACTTAAAACCGTTGACTGGCTTAAATACCTACTACATGTATGTTCTGTATATGCAAAATGTAGGTATATCTTGTTTCGGACCTTTGTCTATGCGATTACTGATTATATAATCACTTATAAATTTTCCGGTACCACTGAAAGCCAAGAAGGAACAATTAGGTAGAAGACAATTTACCGTTATTCGTTAAGGATTCCATATTCCAACAGCCGTCAATATTTTCAACAATATGCTGTCCTATAACGACGGATAAGAATCCATATCATATTATGGATTAGATATTTATTTCACTGATGTTTAGCATGTAATGTTTTGTAATGTGTAATTGAAATCCTGCCGCTTTTCCGACTGTTGCAATAAATATTTATATAAATAAATGTCTAAAGTCATCAAACCTGTGTCATTTGTTCATTTCCAGTGCGTGTGTTTGAACGTCACTATTTCACTCTTACCTATAAAAACGTATATACAGACTGAAGTCTATAAACAGTACATTTCATATCAAAAAGAACAAAGACTCTACAAACATGTCAACAGAATCTATGTTCCGAAGTAGTAAGCGTCTTTTGCTTCATCGACGACATCCGCTACGTAATTCTTGGTCAGTCCAAGAAATTAATACGTCTTAAATGAGAACACACTATACCACCAGGTATACTTAGACACATAAAACCCTTACAATTGCATATCACATGTGAATATAACATTTCTCAATCATTATTTTCACTATGACAACCGTTGCCTTACCAATGGCCTTCATCTTCCTGCATCGCTTGAAACCATGTGTTGTGAGTTTGTCAGTCACTCGCCGTCTCACATGAAAATCGTGACTTTTTGAAACATGCAGGGGTATGGTTAAGTCAGTGTTCAGTTGTACATGTATTACATTGGCAATATGATTCTGATTGTCTAGCATTTAGAATATTTAAAATCAGATATTTCTTGATTTTAACAGTTAGCGACTCTGTGTGATATTTTCTAAATGTCTCCTATCGCTACTGTAATGTTTATACATTTATGTTTTTATTTTCATATACAATTCCAAGCTTAAGAGTAAATGTAGATATCATGTTATTAGTCATATTGTTTATATACATATAGAAGCCGGATATACGGGGAAAGGTGGGCGTGTGTTTGTATTACACAATACACCACCAACAAAGATGGAGATGTGTTTGTATTACACAATACACTGCAGATAAAGATGGAGGTACGTTTTTATTACACAATACACCACAGATAAAGATGGAGGTGTGTTTGTATTACACATTACATCACAGATAGAGATGAAGGTACGTTTTTATTACACAATACACCACAGATAAAGATGGAGGTGTGTTTGTATTACACAATACACTACAGATAAAGATGGAGGTGTTTTTTGTTTTACACAGCACACTACAGATAAAGATAGTGGTGTGTTTGTATTACACAATACACTACAGATAAAGATGGAGGTGTTTTTTGTTTTACACAGCACACTACAGATAAAGATAGAAGTGTGTTTGTATTACACAATACACTACAAATAAAGATGGAGGTACGTTTTTATTACACAATACACCACAGATAAAGATGGAGATGTGTTGTATTAAACAATATACTACAGATAAAGATGGAGGTGTGTTTGTATTACACAATACACTACAGATAAAGATGAAGGTGTTTTTGTTTTACACAGCACACTACAGATAAAGATGGAGGTGTGTTTGTATTACACAATACACTACAAATAAAGATGAAGGTTTTTTTGTTTAACACAGCACACTACAGATAAAGATGGAGGTGTGTTTGTATTACACAATTACTACAGATAAAGATGGAGGTGTGTTTGTATTACACAATACACTACAGATAAAGATGAAGGTGTTTTTGTTTAACACAGCACACTACAGATAAAGATGGAGGTGTGTTTGTATTACACAATACACTACAGATAAAGATGGAGGTGTGTTTGTATTACACAATACACTCCAGATAAAGATGGAGGTGTGTTTGTATTACACAATACACTACAGATAAAGATGAAGGTGTTTTTGTTTTACACAGCACACTATAGATAAAGATAGTGGTGTGTTTGTATTACACAATACACTACAGATAAAGATGAAGGTGTTTTTGTTTTACACAGCACACTACAGATAAAGATCGAGGTGTTTTTGTTTTACACAGCACACTACAGATAAAGATAGTGGTGTGTTTGTATTACACAATATACGAAAGATAAAGATGAAGGTGTGTTTGTATTACACAATACACTACCGATAGAGATGGAGGTGTTTTTGTTTTATACAGCACACTACAGATAAAGATGGAGGTGTGTTTATATTCATACTATCATGCATACTGTTAATATACATATGGAAGACGATAACAGGTTTTGGTACGACCATACTTGATCATGATCATGATAGTTCGTTCATAAGTAAAATCAAAATAAAAAAATCCGCTTCCTTGTATGGAAAAGTAACCGTTTTATCAATTAGTTTACATGGACTTGAAATAATCATCTAAAAATTTCAAGAAAACACAAACATGTCAACAAAGTCATAATTAAAACTCAAATTAAATCAAATTAGAGCAAAATATGAACAAATAAAATTTACAAGGATACCATCTGAAAAAGTACAAGGAGAATAAGACCAGGCATTCCGGATGAGTTAACGTCTTTTTTTTTCATCAACGACACACGCCATGTAACAAACTTAAACGTTTGATACGTTAACCTGTACAAGGACCGGATATCTTACTTGGATAATTTTGGATAACCGTAAAAACATGTAGCAAATGCATGTGTGTACTTGGGATGTATGATTCGTCTGTAGACTGACCTTAGTGTACTGAGCTGTGATGTAGAGAGATGTGATCTATCTACCTTATATATCATGTCCAGGGGCTGTGACATGCCTTAATGGAAATTTTCTCCTACACGCTTATGTTTCATCAAGTCTATATTGCAGTTGCGACAATGTCCTGGATACGTAAACCGAGAATGATATGCTGGTATATTAGAACGCTGGTTTTTACTTTTCTCTGTATTTTTTATTTTTATCATTTTATTTAAAAATGTTTCCTTTCTTTTTATTACTATGATTCTATTTTTTATTAATTTCAATATTAAAGATTAGATAAAATAATGGTCAGTAAAATCAAAACCCTGACAAGTACCATATATAACAGCTGAACTTGGTATTTTTTATGATGTATCCTGATATGGAATTAACCATTTGATAATCTGTCTTCCTATTCCCAGTCACACGACATGGGAAACGAAAGAAGTTTCCGAAGAATTATGTAAAACTTTGTTAAGTGAAACAAGCGGCAGATGAACGGCGTATCGAGTTCAGGAATTTGTCATATGCGTAAGGAAGACTTAGTGCAAACTCGAGATAATCACAACTGTGTTAAAACGGCAGACATATACCAACATGTCATCATAGTCATAATCAAAACTAAAATTAAATGAAATTTGGGGGGGGGGGGGAATGTAAATTTAAAAAAAAAACAAGAAATGAAAGATTTACGCGGATATTCCTCAAAAAGTACAAGGATAATAAGACCTTGTGTGTTACGGAAGAGTAAGCGTCTTCTACTTCATCGACGGCATTCGCCTTGTAAATCTTGGTCAGTCAGAGTAAGTAATGTCAGGCTCTCAAATGAGAACAAGGTACAAGAACGGAACCAACACATGGATTATTCAGCAATGAGTCAATCCTTATTCATATTTTTTTTATCTCATGCAAAGAATTCCAACTGAAGACGGTATGTTAATGGAAGGCGTTTTACGAATGTTTAACATATACTCGTGACTCCAGATGTACGCACGTGTACAGGAAATCTCACAAGATGTATGGATGCATGTCAAACACTTACAAATGTAACAGAAACGTGTATTTGAGATTCACGTGTACTGGATAACTTACAAGTCATAGCATAATAAAAAGTTTTGCTCACCGAAAAAAGTAAATTGATAAATATTTGTATTAAGTACTGGCTCC